GCTTGTGCACACAAATTTTCCTACAATTGCATTATCTATAACTGACTATTTCAAACAATATTTTGCAAATTTTTCCTTGCACAATAATGCTTTTGTCCAACTCTGTACTTACGAACGAATTTGTAGAAGGTCAGTCTCTATTTTGTGCCCAGTATTTCTGAAGATTTGAATGGCAGCTTCGGCTACTTTATCATCCTCCATCTTTAGACACTGTAACAGTGATTCATAGGTCTCTGAAGAGTGAAAGGAGGTGGGATGTGTGAATGATAAAACCTGTGGAACAGAGATTGGGAGAAGATAATTAAAAACTACTTCAATTACCTTCTTCTTCTTTAGCATAATAGCCTTTGAATAAACCATCATACCTTTCTTTTATTTATCAGGAACTGGGATGTTACAACAAAACTGAATCCCTGTTGTTGCATACTACCGAAAGATTCATGAAACAAGAATGGTGTTAGACAGCAAAGCAAAATATACATTTGCTCGCACAGAACTTAATTTTTCTGCAAAAAGATACACGCTGTCAAAGCTTTTCAACTCGCACTTGGGCACAAGAACACAATTTCAAAGGAAGCATCAGTAAAACGCCATCTGGCAAGATATGAGCAGGAATTTAAATATCTAGGCTAATGGCAACCATTATTAAATACACCCACCATTCACTGGGCATGCACATTACTCACTCTCATTCAGTTCCATGAAGGAACTAATGAGACAGAAATCTACTCGACCTGTTGAAATTGCAGCATATCATTAGTGTGTGTAGACAGGGCTAAGAAATTCCACAAGCAACAGATCAGATCTGAGCTCTGCAGTCCTATCACATTCAGTCATGAATAGTGGTGGACAATTAAACAATAAACAAAAGGAAACAGCCCTATCCTTACTGATTTGGTGGTGATGGTGGGCATCAGATGTCCTTGAATGTACGACCCACCTCCCCCGCATCAGAGATAGCAGTCCTCAACCAACTGAATTCACCTCATGTGGGAAGAAACATAGGAAGGTAATGGATATTGGAGGCCCTGACAAAGTTTTGGCAAAAGTACTGAACGTGTGTTTCAGAACTAGTCATACCCTGAGCCAAACTGTCCAATACAGTCACCCACACTGGCATCAATCCAGCAATGTGGTAATTTGCACAGCTCTGCCTGGTGCACAAAAGCAGGTCAAATCCAACCCAGCCAATCACGACTCTATCAGTCAATTCATAATCATCCACAATGTGATGCAATCAAGTGCCACTTGCAGAGGAATAAGCTCCTCATTGACGTTCAGTTTGGGTTCTGGCAGCTTCACGCAGTGCCTAACCTCTTCACAGCCTTGATCCAACATTGCTCAAAAGAGATGAAGTCAAGAGTTAACACAATGGCCTTGATATCAAGGAGCCCTCGATACACTGGG